TTAGTACTGAATATCAACATCACATTTTTGTAATGACTTTATTTTATTATTTTATTTTGGTATTTCATTTTTTACTTTACTTTTTATGCTGTTAGTACTGTATTTTATACTGTTAGGTTCAGGATAAACACTGTGTACAACACAAGCAGTTGTTTATTTCCCAGAAATTTGGCATACAAAACAGTCGTAAGTCGAATGGTCGTATGTCGAGCAGGTCGTAAGTCGGATGGTAGGTGTACAGCTAGGGGCAGCTAATGGCTTAGAAGTGAACTCCGTTATTTATGGTCCATTTTCTTTCATTTTTGGTGTTTGTTAAGAAGCGTCTTTCCATCATACATTGCCCAAGTTTTAATAAGATAGTCCAACAAGCAACTGAGATCCAATTCCCTAGATCAAGAGCCCCTCATCAGTGTCGAGGAACCTCCCTTGAGGCCTGCTCGGATCTGGAAATTTCCCTTGCTTCTGGAAGGAAAAAATTGACTGATTGACTGCGTGTATCTGGAAAAACTCGCGCGTGGATGCACTCGTTAGTAGAGGTTCCACTGTACGTATTGTACTACCAGCAAACAAAAATACTGCAGGAACATGTATAAAAGTCTTCAGTAGGGAAACTGGATCACTACTAGCACTCTGTCAAGTGCCAGATTAACTGGTCTATGATAGATATGTGAGCCAGCAGACTGCCAACAACAGCAGCCTGGCTGATCATTTGCACACCAGAAAAGCCTGACCCAGGGCTGGGTTATGGGTGTAGGAAGGCTCTCAAAACTTGTCACAGGTATTATGATCCTACATTTACCTTTGATGAGTTCCAAGAGTTTTTCTACTTCCAGAGCCCTGCTGTGGGCCAGGTTCATTTGGTGCTTGCCTGGTCAACCAGGCTGTTGCTGCTTTATTTTGTTAAGTGATAATGATTTCTAGGTAGATAGCTGAGATTTAACCCCCAACACAAATTCCACATGTGATGGATAGGTAAATAAGACAGATGCAGTGAGTTAATAGTATAGAATGGAAACATGCAGGCAGACCTTACATAACAAAATGTATCTTAGAGAGATTACACTTTCCTCAGTAACACTGAATCAGTCAAGGAAAGATATTTTCACTGTACAAAATGCAGTATGCAATTTGTAAGCAAGGCCTGTAATAAAGCACTGTAATCCAGTACAGTACACCTAGTTACATATAATGTTTACATACAGTACATGTGTCCCTCATTTTATGCTATATATTCATCCCAGGCCAATTAGGACAAATATTTAACTGTACTTCCACATAAGAACCTTCAGTATCCGATGAAAATGGTTTGAAAACCAGCAAGTTGAAGAATGAAACACTTATGCAACATTCGAGAATTTTTACTGAGGAAACGTTTTGCCAGCCAGTGGCTTCTTCAGTCCAATACAGAGAATAACAGTGGAAGATGAGGAGGAGTTTGAGGTAATCATTCCCTCACCCTAGAGTCAATGTATTCAGTCCATCATTGACTCTAGGCTTAGGAACTGATTACCTCAAACTACTCCTCCTCTTCCACTGTTATTCTCTGTATTGAACTGAAGAAGCCACTGGCTGGTGAAACGTGTCCTCAGTAAAGAGTCCTAAATGTTGCTCAAGTGTCTCATTCTTCACCTCCAATGTGCTTTGTGAACCATACCGATCATATATAGTAAATACATGTTACATATGGTATATGGAATTACTGATAGAAATAGGACATTGCATAATAACGAATTTGCTTGAAATAAGTCCACATAAATCATGGGAGAAACCTGAACTGTCTTAAGTATCAGGTGGGTACTCTTCTTTTTTTTTTATTCCTGAGAATAGATTTAACAAAAGCAAACAATTTTTTTTTTTTTTTTTTTTTTTTTTTTTTTTTTTGTATTTCTTTGAAATGAGTGAGATACTAAAGTCCCAATATGACTCAGTGTTCAGCGAGCCGCTGCCCAGACTAAGGGTCGACAATCCAAATGCATTCTTTATGAATGAGACCCAAAATTTGGTCATCTCAAAAATCTTGGATATTGCACTAACACCACAAGACTTTGAAAAGGGAATAAATGACATGCCCATGCACTCTGCCCCAGGCCCAGACTCATGGAACACCATGTTCATCAAGAGCTGCAAGAAGCCCTAGTTACATGCCTTCAGGATTCTATGGAGAGGGAGCACAGACACATGGGTCATCCCACACTCGCTAAAAACAATAGACATAGCCCCACTCTTCAAAGGTGGCAGTAAAGCAATTGCAAAGAACTACAGACCAATAGCACTAACATCCCATACCATAAAAATCTTTGAGAGGGTTCTAAGAAGCAAGATCGCCAACCACCTAGATACCCATCAGTTACACAACCCAAGGCAACACGGGTTTAGAGCATGTCGTTCCTGCCTGTCCCAGCTACTGAATCACTATGACAAGGTCATGGATGCTGTAGAGCAGTGGTTCCCAAACTGGGGGTAAATTACCCCCTGGGGGTAATTTAACCATTTTTGGGGGGTAATGGAGGGGTGACAGAAAAAAAGTTATGAATTCTGAAAATCAAGAAAACAATGCGGTACCCAGTATGAGGATTATTGTTAACTTTGTCTTAGTATATAAAGTTGTAAAGTGAACCTATTATAAGTAAGTAATAAAGTTAAACCAAATAACAATAAACATCAAAAACTAATATACAGTATTAGAAAAGAAGAAATATATAGCTAAGTGTGTGGAAACCCAAAAGTATTTTGACAAGTATGCTTCAGGACAAAAGTCACTCAGTAGCCCAGATCGACCTGTCCAGTACGCGTCACTCACTTCCTGAGGCTGCCTCTATTTCACACTGTCAGTTTATCTGTGAGCATCAGCCGAGGTAGACATAAGCTGGTATGTATGTGTACTGCCCTGTGCAGTATATAGTTAGTATTTACCCACTGTTACTGTGAATTTGTAGCTATTATTAATTTTATATATAATGTATGTGTGGTTCTTACGTTTTCAATGGTTTTGCTAGGATTAGCAGAGTATGCGAGGCTGTATACGTTCACGTTTAGCCAGATATATCAATAATAACAACATTTTGTGAAAGGGGTAACATGCTTTATGTGGCATGTTAAATTGGGTAACAAGCTGAAAAAGTTTGGGAACCACTGCTGTAGAGGATAAACAAAATGCAGATGTAGTATACACAGACTTTGCAAAAGCTTTCGACAACTGTGACCATGGTGTAATAGCGCACAAAATGCGTGAAAAAGGAATAACAGGAAAAGTTGGTAGATGGATCTATAACTTCCTGGCAAATAGAACACAAAGAGTAATAGTAAACAGAGTAAAGTCTGAGGCAGCTACAGTGAAAAGCTCTGTTCCACAAGGCACAGTACTCGCTCCCATTCTATTCCTCATCCTCATATCTGACATAGGCAGAGATGTAAGCTATAGCTCCGTGTCTTCTTTTGTGGATGACATCCAGATTGCCATGACAGTGACCTCCATCGAAGACGCTGCAAGACTCCAAGCTGACATAAACCAAATTTTCAAATGTGCCACTCAAAACAATATGAAGTTCAATGAAGAAAAATTTCAACTACTCAGATATGGATAACTTGAGGAAATTAAAACTGAATCAGGGTATACGACAAATTCTAACCATACAATAGAGCAAAAAAGTAATGTGAAGGACCTGGGAGTGATAATGTCGGAAGATATCGCCTTCAAAGACCACAACAATGTATCTACTGCATCTACTAGGAAAATGGTTGGATGGATAATGAGAACCTTCAAAACTAGGGATGTCAAGCCCATGATGATTCTCTTCAAATGGCTTGTTCTCTCTAGGCTGGAATACTACTGTACACTAACTGCCCCCTTCAAGGCAGGGGAACCTTGTCGGTTTAGCACTTTCTTTGATTATAATAATAAGGCAGGGGAAATTGCTGACCTGAAGAGTGTACAAAGAACTTTTACGGCACACACAAGTACAATAAGGCACCTAAATTACCAAGAACAGTTGAACGCCCTTGATCTGTATTCCCTGGAGCACAGGAGAGAGATACATGATAATATACACATGGAAAATCCTAGAGGGATTAGTACCAAACTTGCACACGAAAATCACTCCCTATGAAAGCAAAAGACTCAGCAGGAGATGCAACATTACCCCAGTGAAAAGCAGGGGTGCCACGAGTGCACTGAGAGAACACAATAAGTGTTTGGGGCCCAAAACTGTTCAACTGCCTCCCAGCATACAAAGGGGGATTACCAGTAGACCCCTGGCTGTCTTCAAGAAGGCATTGGACAGACACCTAAAGTCAGTACCTGATCAACCGGGCTGTGGTTTGTACGTCAGTTTATATGTGGCCAGCAGTAACAGCCTGGTTGATCAGACCCTGATCCACCACGAGGCCTGGTCTCAGACCAAGCCTCAGGGGCATTGACCACTAAAACCCTCTGCAGGTAAACTCCAGGTTGCAATGTGTTATTTACATTTTATATATTAGGTGGGTACTTTTCTTATTTTTTAATTCCTGAGAATAGATTTAACAAACAAACCAAAAATAAAACAATATTTTATTTCTTTGCAAAGGTTACAATGTGCGATTTACATTTTATAAAGTGTTGTTAAGTACAAAGAAAGCCACTAACATGCTGGGGCATTTCTGGCAGACTAATCCTAATACTTACAGAGTACTAAAAACTAGACATGGGTTATAGAGTGGTAAATTTTAATTATTACTTTACCTTATTACTAAAGTGATGTAGCCAAAGTATTTTATAAGATTTATAGTAGTAAGTAGCACAAGCAAATAACAATTTTACAATTAGTATAATTTACTATGTTACAGCAGTACAATTTTAATTAAATATGTATAATGTTTTAAATTGATTAAGCAGTCATAAATTTTGGGGGACTTTTTGAGTCATTTCAGACTGGTTGAATGACAGTGTAATGAGATGTGTTGCATATATTTGATTATGTCTCTCTCTCAGTTAATGAAATAATCAGTGCTGAATTCTTTAGGCAAAAGGTCGTGAAGACAGCATGGAGGAGGGCTATCTAGCACTGCGATGGAACAATCACAACACAATTTTCACGAAGATCCTCACCCTCCTCAGGGAACAGGTATGTTTGATGGTTAAAATACATACAAGTGCAAAACAGATTTTTTATTTAAAATATTGTTTCTGTGTAACAGGCTTTTTTTTTTTTTTCAAACCAATACAAGCTGAGCATATTTATACAAGCATAAAATGAGGTACAAACAAGTGAGTAGCTGGGAAAATGAGATCATGGCATAAGCAGTCAGGAAGCACTGCAGGAGGCCTGCTGTCCTTTGTGTGTATTGTGTGTGCATGTGAATCTGAATTATTTCTGCTTTTGTAAAAGGACAGCTTTTTTCTAGGCTGAATGCTTCCTAATTCTGCTGAATGGCATTTTGTTTGCAGGTGTCTGGAAGCCTGCATCAAGTTTTGCCTCTCATTAATCTCTAGGTAGCTGTCTTTTCTGGCTATCGGTGTGTTCCAGGGCACATATTGGTTTCTAACTCAAATTCTACAATATCTGCAGCAACAATTTAAAAATCATCATCTGATACTGGAGTTTCACACACACATCATCTGGTACTGCAGGAACTGAGGACACAATTCTCACTATTCCCCAAATAGAGAACTTTGGAAACAAACACATATGCAGTTTAAAGGGTCGCCATTAAAGGGCCACATTAAACTGCATATGTGTTTATGTTTCCAATGTGTCGGTATTTTATACCATTTATTTTCAAATAGAGAACTTTATTGATGGAATAAATAATGCTACATCACTTTAGTAATGTTTATTGATGGAAGACTGTTCTTCACTATAGGGCACACTTCAGTATACACACCATCCCTCCAAAAGCAACATAATTAAAGATCTCATGAGACACAAAGCCAGCTGTCCGGACCATGGTAATGCAGGGCCTGCCTACACTGTACCTTACAGAAACTGTAATAAAAAAATTGTAATGAAAAACTTGTAATAAAAAACTTGTTTTTTTTTATTCTTTTGAGGCATCAAGAATGTACAGAAGGGTCCTGCTTTACAACGTTTTGCTAATACAGTGGACCCCCGACTTACGATATTAATTCATTCCAGACGGCTGTTCGGGTGCCGTTACCGAACGAATTTGCTCCCATAAGGAATATTGTAAATTAGATTAGTCTGTTTCAGACCCCAAAAATACACTTACAAATGCACTTACAAAAATACACTTACATAATTGTTCGGGTTGGGAGCTGTTCGTAAGTCTGGAGTCCACTGTACAACAGTTTTCAGTTTTACCCATTTATTCAGACTTCCTACAGTAAATATATTCACTACTCACTATAAGTTAAGGACAAAAATATTTTAGGGTAAGTAATGTGTATACTCTATATGCATTTTTAAGGCCTAGCTATATTGCTCATTTAATATATGATAGTGTAAACATGTTGCTTTATGATTTACTATACAGCAATTTTCACTTTACAGCAGTATCTCAGAACCTAACCTGTATAAGCAGGGCCCTCCTGTAATCCTATTTTGCCATATAATCTTCACTCATATCACGATTTCATATATAGTTCAGACTGTGGGAGTAATTTTTTAAACTTGCTAGCCATTTCCCACCAAATAGGGGTGACCTAGAAAAGGAAATGCATTCATTATTATTTGTTCAATAACTCTCTTGCCAGAAGTATGCAGATATCACAGTTCATATGGTCCTTTAAACTGCAACATCCTCCATCCCTCCTCGATATATATTCCTTTACAAATTCTAAATGCTGCTGTTTTATTTCAGGAAGCTTATGTTGATGTGTCGTTGGCATGTGCTGGAAGGTTATATCCAGCTCACAAGTTTGTCCTCTCCACATGCAGTGATTACTTCAAGGAAATGTTTGCAAAAAATCCATGCAAACATCCAATAGTCTTCATGAAAGATGTATCCACAAAGGATATGGAGGCATTATTAGATTTCATGTACAAAGTTAGTACAGTAATTGATTTTAATTTTATATTAAATAATTCTGTGTTTTTAGGGTTGAAATCTTAATGTTGTACAATGTATGGTATAAAATATATAGTGATATTTCTCTTACTCTGAATTATGTGTACATAGCCATGTCTGGATAAGAACACACTCCCCTTACCTCCCTTCCCTTTCCCTCTTGCACACCACTTTCCAGCTGCTACAGCTATGGAAATTTAAGAAAATTATGAGATTAAGCACTGACAGTAAGACACAATGAGCATAGCTATGCTCCTGTAGCTATACACAGTACATGATAAACACAAACAATTAATAATACACAGCCTCCTCTTCTTCCCTCTTGTCACAACCAGCTACCCCTGGCAAGACTGATCACACTTCCTCTACATGTATAGCCCTCCCTCTTTATTTTGGTTTAAAAACTCTGAGCGTGTTCCAGATATATATATAGGAGAAGTCTGAGTAAAAACATTCAGAATACAAAATATTCTCGTTTCATCACAATTTTTATGTCAAAATTTCCACCAGTCTCTCGGATGTTTTTCACTCAGGCAGGATGGTATCTTATGCCTTTTCTAAAATACATAAATGCAGCAAACATCTTTTATCTATGCACATATTGTCCACTTGCCATAAAAAGTGGACTAAATCCCTTAATCACTAGGGCACTTGTCTGTTGCCTTCTCATTTCTTCTTTCAACAAACTGGCCATATCCCATTGAAGCAGGGTGGCCTAAAAAGAAAAAGAAAAGTTTTTCTTTTTAACTTTAGTAATGTATACAGGAGAAAGGGTTACTAGCCCTTTACTCCTGGCATTTTAGTCACCTCTTACGACACGCATGGCTTACAGAGGAAGAATTCTGTTCCACTTCCCCATGGAGATAAGAGGAAATAAACAAGAATAAGAACTAGCACATGCATGTACAAGCATATACACACACACACACCCCTCTGGGTTTTCTTCTATTTTCTTATTAGTTCTGTTTTTATAATTCTTCATCCATAAGAGATGCGTGTTGTAAGAGGCAACTAAAATGCCAGAGGCAAGGGGCTAGTAACCCCTTCTCCTGTACATATTAAATTTAAAAAGAGAAACTTTTGTTTTTCTTTTTGGGCCACCCTGCCAAGGGCGGGATACAGCTGGTTTGATGAAAGAAGAAGAAGAAACATGCAAGGTTTCAGGTACATCTTGCTACTTCTACTTACACTTCGGTCACACTACACGTACTTTTTTTTTCTTTTAACAAGTCGGCCATCTCCCACCAAGGCAGGGTGACCCAAAAAGAAAGAAAATCCCCAAAAAGAAAATACTTTCATCATCATTCAACACTTTCACCTCACTCACACATAATCACTGTTTTTGCAGAGGTGCTCAGAATACAACAGTTTAGAAGTATATACGTATAAAGATACGCAACGTATCCCTCCAAACTGCCAATATCCCAAAACCCCTCCTTTAAAGTGCAGGCATTGTACTTCCCATTTCCAGGACTCAAGTTTGGCTATATAAAATAACCGGTTTCCCTGAATCCCTTTGCTAAATATTACCCTGCTCACACTCCAACAGCTCGTCAGGTCCCAAATACCATTCGTCTCTTTTCACTCCTATCTAACACGCTCACGCACACTTGCTGGAAGTCCAAGCCCCTCGCCCACACAACCTCCTTTACCCCCTCCCTCCAACCCTTTCGAGGACGACCCCTACCCCGCTTTCCTTCCCCTACAGATTTATATGCTCTCCATGTCATTCTACTTTGATCCATTCTCTCTAAATGACCAAACCACCTCAACAACCCCTCTTCAGCCCTCTGACTAATATTTTTATTAACTCCACATACATGTACAAGCATATATATATATATATATATATATATATATATATATATATATATATATATATATTTATATATATATATACACTCCTTTGGGTTTTCTTCTATTTTTTTACTAGTTCTTGTTGTTTATTTCCTCTCATCTCCATGAGGAAGTGGAACAGAATTCTTCCTCCATAAGCCATACATGTCGTAAGAGTCGACTAAAATGCTGGGAACAAGGGGCCAGTAACCCCTTCTCCTGCATATGTTACTGAATTTAAAAAGAGAAATTTTTCTTTTTCTTTTTAGGTCACCTGCCTCAGTGGGATATGGGTGGTTTGATGAAAACAAAAATTATAAAGTCTCTTTATTCTGAATCTTTTACACTTGCTAAAGTGTTAAAGATCCCAAGTGATCTATACAAATTTATCATTGGGAGGTTTCCTGGTGATATTACAATACAGGTGGGGCCCCGCTTTACATCATTTTGCTTTACGGCATTTCACTAATGCAGCGGTTTCAGTTATATCCATTCTTCATTTATTCAGACTTCCTGCAATAAATGTATTCACCGCTCGCTATAAACTAAGGACGAAAATATTTGAATATTTTAAGGTAAGGAATGTGTGTACTGTATAAGCATTTTTGCATTTTTAAGACCTAGCTCTGTTGCTCATTTAATATTTGATAGTGTAAACATGTTATCAGTCTTTTACATGCATTTGAAAGTGAAAAAAGGCTGTGTCACTTTACTTCGATTTTTGCTGTACAGCAGTAGCCCGGAACCTAACCTGCTGTATAAGCGAGGCCCTCCTGTACCTGATCACAGCAGCCAAGAGAATAACTCAGGCTGGGTGATTGATTATGTGCATGTTTGCCCCACCCATCTTTCAGTAGCATGATGGTCTCTAAAATGTCAACCATTCTCATAATACATGATGGTGGACTGTTTTATTTAATTTTCAAGACAAGAACATCTTTGATATAATAAGTTGGTAGATAGCAACCGCCCAAGGAAGTACTCCTGCTCTGCCATGAGGCAGGAATGCTAGTCTTTTCTTTGGGTGTGAAAATTGGGTTTTAACCCATAAACTGTCCAAACGTAGATATACGTTTGCCTGCGCAGCGCTCCGAATATTTTGAAAAATAAAAAAATTATTTTTTTTTAAATTGAAGAATGCATTTTTATAAATGGTATAGGATAAAAAAAAATTTTTAGGGTCAGTACTTACCGAGATATAAGCCCGCGAAGTTGGTGCTAAATGATGAGGTGTCGGCAACATGGAGCACTGCCGCTTGCAAAAATAATAAACATTTATCGTTTTTTTCCAATTCGTTTCTATTATTTGTTGTTTTCATGTTATTATAATAATGTTTTGTTGCAGATCTTTTGATTTCATAGCCAATTCTTGTTGAGACACAAATGTTTGGTACTGAATTAGTAATCATACTGTCACAAACACACATGTTCACACTGTTAAATGAATTTGTACACCTGGTTCAATCACATACTATTGTCTACATATATATACAAGGTATTTACAAGTCCCATTTATATTTCTAGAAGTCCGCCACTGTATGGTACTCCAAGAAGCATGGATTTATACAGAATGCCACCCCACATTGCTGATACATGTTTCGTGTGTCTTTTCACACTCAGGGTCGCTGTTTAGTGTAAGCGCACACAACACACTTTTTCTGAGAGTACTTCTTCTTTGGAGTAGATGGTAATGGTACCAGGCAGTGACAGTTAGGGATTATTCAGTCAGGCACTTCCCCCTCTTCTTGTAGAGTGACATGTCGCTGTGGAGTGACAGGTATAGGTGTGGTACCATACTTTTTCGCTGTCTACTTGATGATATTGAGGGTGAATTCTGCATATAATTGTCGCTTCCCAGTCTTTATTTCATACATGTTGAAGGCATTGAGCATTGCAAGGTAGAAAAAAAACTTTCATATACCACTTGCGACTCCTGCGCACACAGTCAACAATCCCTATCATCATGTCACACTTGTCGACTAGTTGCATATTGTTTGTATAGTCAATGACAGCAGCTGGCTTTACAATAGGTTCATTGTTGAACCTGCTCAGTCTGTCTGTCTGTCTGTACCATCTCGTTTCTGTGGATGGTTGACAGCAACATCACGTCCCGTTCATCATGCCACATCAGTGCCATGATGTCATTGGCATGAAACACTTCTACTAGACTTCTTCCAGTGAACCTTGGCATGTGCTTTCTACTTCTCATTGTTCCACATATATCAGTATTGTTGTACAAGAATGGTATACAATACCGACAATTTATGTCTTCAAATTATGTCCTGGAATTTGTATTGCTAAAGTCACTGGATGGCGAGACGTCTACAATAAAGATACCCAGATGTTGCACATGTGTCTTAATTTCATAAGTATTGTTCACACGTAGGAAATCTGCAAGCATAGGGCTTGTATACCAGTTGTCTGTGAACAGTGTATGACCTTTTCCAAGGTATGGCCCCATCATCTTGTGAACAACATCCCCAGAAATGCCCAACATGCGCTTGGTATTGCCGAGCGTATTTTTCCCTGTGTAGATAATGACATCCAACACAAGACCAGTCTCACAGCCACACATAACAAAGAGTTTTATACCAAAGCGATTATGTTTGCTTGGTATATATTGTTTGAATGACAGTTGTCCTTTGAACAAAACTTAGGACTCGTCGACAACAATGTTCATGAATGGATAAAAGTAGGCACTGAATTTTTGCTTCAGATACATAAACAATTCCCGGATTTTGTATAAGAGGTCATTTCTGTTTGGCGTATTCCTGCCTGAGAAGTGCAACATTCATACCAACAGAGTGAATCTGTTGTAGGGAAGGAGGTCACGGAAGACTGGAGTACTGATGAAGTGGTCTGTGGACCAGTAATTACGTATATTGTTCTTATAGGTGTGTAGCATAAGCATGACAGTGCCAAGGAATAAATACATTTCAGCGACAGTTGTATCTTTCCACCTGCGCAACCGTGAAGACTCTGAAACATCTGTGTGGTCCATTGTATACTGGTAGTATATGTTGGTCTGGGTAACAATTAGGTTAATTATCGGCTCATCAAAGTATAGTTGAAAGTAGTCTTAACTCTGTAGACTCATTTGTGATGGGACAGTGTGGCATGATGCCACTTCCACTGGCATCAAA